TGCAGAGGGGGACGCAGTGCTCGGCGGTCCTAGTGTCGGGCTGCTGCTCACAGGGCCCCAGCGTCAGCTTCACACAGGGTGGGGGTTTGTCCTGAGCTCCGGTAATGACCGGCTCCCCCCGTGTCCCACTCCCTCCTTCCTTAGCGTGTGGCCTTTGTTTTCGTGGTCACACATGGCTGTGGCACCTACCGCCGGCAGACCAAGGCAGCAGAGACTTTCTACTTAGCTGGGTTCACAGGACTGGCCAGGCGGCCTCACTCGGCTTCCGCGGTGCAAGGGCAGGGTGGGGGGATGGCTTTGGGGCAGCCTTAGCCGGGGCGGCCCCCGCTGACAGCACCCACATAAACGCGCCTGACACAGGTAAATTTCTAGAAGGTAAGACTGGAGGCCCGGAGCCTGTGGAGAGTTTAGGCTTGGGTTTCGGGAAAGCCGCTGATACTTCCCTACCCTGCCGATAGCTGCTGTCAAACCATGAACGTCCGCACAGATTCTAGATGGGGTTGAGCTTTCCTAACTTGTGGGAATTTATTTTTTTTTTTCCAAATTTTTGCTTCAGTTTTTGTTTTTTGTTTTTTTCAATTTTGTGGGAATTTAAAGATCCTTTTGAGTTGATAGCTGGCCTGCTACGCCGCATGTTCCCGAGGCATCACGATCAGTCAGGTGAACAGGGCCGAGCGAGGCACCAGGACTGCGGTCTTGTGTGGCCCCCGGGGCGACTCGAGCTTTAGGCTTTGATTTTATTCTGAAATGGGGAGAGGCCCTGTTTCCCCTTCCAGTCCGAAATCGCCTGTGATCAAAATGACCCCGAACAGGTGTTACCTGGAGGTCATTCCTGATCGTGGCTAAAGGCCTTTCCAAGCCCAGAGCTGGGCCCCCGCGGGCAGTAGCAACAGCCTGAGCACCTGTCCTGTGTGTGTGGGGCTGCGGCTGGGGAGCCCCCCGCAAAGTGGCGGTGCCCAGGACACCTCGTTCGTGTTGCTCCACAGACCCACTGAGTGCCCCCCAATCAGCGTGGGGAGAGCCCAACTCTGCTCTTCTCAGCCAGCGAATTCTCAGGAAATGGGTGGTTGGAGGCATCGGTGCTACGTGCTCTGGGGGCTGCTGGCGTGTCCGTGGGGCTGCCCAGCCAGGCCAGCAGGCTGCACACCGCATGGTCCTGCACCATCGCCCCTTTTCCAGGCAAATAAATGCCCATTTCTGTCACAGAGGAATTCCAGGAGAGTTTTGAGAAAGAGCCTCCCCTTTTGAAATAAGCCCATCTCTGCCTCTGCTGGTTCTTTGTTCATCTACATAAAGTAGCGGCACTTGTATGGATGGTTAGTGTTTAAAATTGGCCCTTTTAACCAATTAATTAATTCTTAAAAATTGGCCCTTCTCCACGTGGTCCTTCTGTCCCCTCTGGTAAAAGCCGATGAACAGAGGTCCAGAAAGTCAGTGGAGACTCTGCCCACAGCGGCTCAGATGGTGTTGTCACTGGCAATAGTGGTCCGAACATGAGTGACGAGAGAGAGTTGTTGGGGGCCAGGCTGAGGGGCTGAGCCCTGGGCAGAGGAGGCGACGCTGGCTGGCGGAGTTCTCCACTGTTTATTTCAAGAGAAAGTGAAAGTGGGTGTTTTATCACTATATCTTCAGATCAAACCAGAAAGCCAGATTGCTGATTCAGAATCGGCCAATTATTTTTATAAATAATGCTGGTGGTCGTTTTGGGAGATCTGAATGAGGTCGTTGGCGAGAACCTCCCCCCACCCCCCAACCCCCTGACAAGGCTCCTTTGCGCATAGGTTCTGAAGCACACCCCTGCAGCTTGTTGCCAGATCAGGTGGGGGCGTACACCGGCCCATCTGCTGCTGCTGCTGATGGCCCGTGCCCCCTTGTCTGTCCAGGTCGGGGCTGGGGACCTCGATGGCTTCCAGGCAGACACGGAGGAGGAGGAAGAGGAGGACGGCGACTGTGTGATCCTGGACATCTCGGATGTCGTGGGTGAGAATCTGGCGGGAAAAGAAGAACGCACGCCCCGTCGCTCCCACACTCCTCCTGTCTGTAAACAAGGGGGTTGAGCTAAGAGACCCCAAAAGGCGCTGAGTGGGCTGGATGGGTGGGGGCAGTGCATTCTGGTCCACGGTCTGCAGGATCTGGCTTATCTGAAAGCTGCCACGTGCACAGCGGGACTGGCTCCAGTAGCCATGACAGAAATAGGTACAGTAATGGGCCAGCAGTTGGATGCTGACCACGTTGTGGTGCTGTTCCAGAAGCTTCCCAGAGAATCGGCAGTGCTGCACCTGCAGCTCCAACCCCTGGGCTGGGTTGCAGGAGGGGAGCCGTGGAGTCTTGGGGTGGTCTCGGGTGTAGAAGGGGCTGAGTCGGGGACACCTGGAGGGGGCAGTGAGGGAGGCCAATGTTTGACTCTTGCCGAGTGAGCCCAGGAGGGGACAGGCTCTGAGGGCCGTGAATGAGTGTAGCTGTCTGAAGGAGGGCGTGGGGGCAGTGACTTGGGCCCCTACCCAGTCTGGGGGTGCAGCCAGCTAAAGGCCCCTCCTTCTCTTGCCTTGCAGAGGCTCCGACCCCGTGTGGAACCACTTCTGGAGCTGGGGGGTCCGTGGGAATGGACACCAGCGAGAGCCCCGTGCCCACCAGCTCGCTCAGCCCCTGCTGAGTGCCCCGCTGGCCCGGCATGTGTAGGTAGAATGGTTAGGGCATTCACAAACGCCTCTCGGATACTTGAAAGTCCTACGAGTCCTGTGTAAAGAGCACTTTGTCCTGCTTCGCAGGCCTCCCCAGAGGTCTGGAAAGTTTTATAGAGGATGCTTGATTTGTTCCTTTTGGTATTTGTAAAAATCCCCCCCAAAAAGCTGCATATTAATCTGCCCTTGAATAAAGCATTATTGCGATGTGAGGATCTGTACAGGGACAGCCTGGTCGCGCCTGTGGGCCCCCAAGCAGGCGCTGTGATGAAATGCTTGTAAATGAGTTGGAGCCCGCGGCGGCTCCTCGACCTGATGAGGGTGTGTATAAACTTATTGTCCAGCCCTGACCTGGTGCATCTGTCGTCTTTTCAAGCATCGTTCCTCGTGCATGGTTCCATCCCCTGGGGCTGGCCCCCCGCTCTGGGCTGGCGGGTGTACTCTCCCCTACCCGGTATGTGGCTCAGTTGTTTGTATAAAGGGTCACACCTTGCAGAAGCACTGTCCCCACTCTGGGCTGTAAAATCCTTGGCCTCTATGCTGACCTGGTTAAAGGTGACAGCTTCCGAAAAGTGCTTCTGTCGGCCTCTCCCTGCTGCCCATCTTTTAGGCCACTGGGACTGGAACTGTAGCTTCCAGATGGACTTCAGGGTTGGGTCACCCTTGGGGAAGAACACATGGACAGCTGTGGGCCCCTGTGCCCTGAAGGGGCCCTGTGTTGGGGATGTAAGTGACCCCACTGAGACATCAGAGCACATCAGAGGCCTGGGGTGCAGGGATTTTGGCAGAACTCCTGGACCCCATTTAACTTGGACAAGTCCCTGTCGAGTTCTATTCCTGCTGCGCCCGCGGGAGGAGGCAGCCACCGTTGGTGTTCAGCAGCCCCTGACTCAGCCAGGACCCCTCGCTGGGGGTTAGGTGTGTGCGCTGCCTCTGGACGGGGCTGCCCCAGCCAGTCAAGTCCCCTGGGACCCGTGTTAGGTGGTCACCTAACAACTTGGGAGTTAATGTCAAGTCACAGTTGGGCAGGGAGGGGACCGAGATGGGGCAGCAGAGGACAGGCCCCCATCTTGCCCTGTGTGGGAACAGCCAGATGGGAAGCAAAGGTATGTAAGGGGGCTTCTTGCCTGCTGGGGGGCTACAAGGTGTTTTTATGGTAAAATCACATTTGGGCCTCAAACTTCCAAGTCTGTCACTGAGCTGGCAGTGGCCAGGGGACTTGCCACCACAAGCCTTTCTGTAGAAGAGGAGAGGGTCTGGAAGGGGCCAGCCTAGGAAGAAGGGAGGGGACAGTCCAGGTGAAGTCAAGGGCATCTCCCCAGGGGACACGTGACCAGGGCCAGTGCCTCCTGGGCTCCACGTGGGCTCAGCTTCTGTTACTCACTTCCTACGGCTGCTGGAACACATGGCTGCCAACTTGGCTTAAAACCACACTTGTTCCTATGGTTCTGGGAGTCGGAAGTCTGCCATGGGCCTCACAGGTTGGAAACCAGTGTGGGCAGCACCAGCTCCTGGAAGCCCAGGAGGGGGGGACCTGCCTGCCTTTTGCAGCTTCCAGAGGTGCCCATGTGGACTCGGGGGGACCCCCCGCAGCCTCCTACCTCCTTCCAGAGGAGAGGACCCCGGTGGTGACACTGGGCCCACCTGCCTACCCAGGACACTATGGGTGTCCCCAACCACAGGCACAGCCACTTTAATCCTATAAAGCAACCACCACAGGGACTGGGGCTGAGGACGGGCTTCCTGTGGGGACCTTGTTCTGCCCCCCGCCCCAACAATTAGACGAGAGCTCCCTGGGAGGTCCGCCGTTAGCAGGTACCCATCCCGGCCCACCTCCCCCGGGGTCCACTCGGGGCTCCTGTGCCGGCAGCCCAGCAGCCACTGCTTCAATTCAGCACCGGGGGACAAGTCTGATGTCATTTATTCAGGTTCGTAATTCAGTAACCACAGAACCGTGTCCTGACAGGCCCTGCATCTCTCTCTGCCGCTGTCCCCAGCAATTGCTGTCCCAGCAACCCCGTGGCTCAGCATCAGGGCGAGCCGCGGCCACCTGGGCCACAGCACATGGGGACGGGGCCCGTGCCGCAGGCCTACTTTCCCGCCCAGGGGCTCTGTGAAAGGTACAGCGGCTGCCTCCCGAGAGCCTCTCTGGGTGGCAGTCCCAGGCACGTGTCACAGCCCGCCAGCGCTCCTCCCTGTGCCTGCAGTGCTCTCTGGGCCAGGGCAGGCACTTCCGGGGGAGTGGGGGACCCTGGGAGGAGGGAGACTGCGTAGGGGGCTAGTGGTGGAGGAAGCAGGAGAGCATGAGACACCCACGCGGGCTGAAGCCAACCCTGCTTTTATTTCACGAGAGCTTCTCGATGGCCGCCAGGAGCTCAGGTTTCAGAATAGATGAGTCCGGATCGGCCCCCGCGGCCTTGATGTCCTCGAGCACGGCTGTGTCCCACGAGAAGGTCAGGAGGGCCGAGGGCACCTGCGGTGGGGTTAGAAGCCTCAGCCGCACTCCGGCGTCTCTGTCCTGGGAGTCTCTGCACTCATTTCCTGGTGCTGGGGCCAGGGCCACGCTCACCCTGGGCGGCTCCACGCCGGGGACCACACACAACCAGCCCATTCCCATGGACTCGCCAACCTCAGGAACTCAGGAAGTCCCTCCAGTCTTCCCATGGGAGGGTCTGAGAGCCGTCGCCCCCACTTCCTCCCCAGGAAGGCCCTCATCTGGGATCCATCTGCCTTGGTTCTTCTCAGAGAACCCTAACATGCCTGCCCTGTTCCCACTCTCTAGGAGGGAAACTGAGGCAGAGACCTCACTTGGGGGCACACCACACGTCCACAGGAAGGTGGGACTTGAACCCAGGGGCCCAGACTCCTGGGCCCCACACCACCCACTGCTGAAAGTGGCCCCCCGCCCCGTGGGGGTTTGTGTGGGCAGGAAAACCCAGAGACGCGCCCCGGCACGCAGGGAGCCCGTCACCCACCAGCCCGCACTCGTTGAAGGCCAGGCTCTCGTCCTCTGACAGCCTCTGCCCGCCGGAGGCCAGCAGGTCGAAAGGCAGCCAATCGTTCCGCAAGGCCTCCCGCACGAACGCGTACAGCGCGGCCACACGCTCCCGGGCGTAGAAGGTCCCTGGGTGGGCGGGACAGTGGGGCCCCGCGGTCAGCAGGAGCGCAGCCGGGGAGCGCCGCCGGGGAGCCCGGGCCCGCCCCGCTCCCGCCGCCGCCGCCCCCGGCGCGCACCCTGCAGCAGGCAGCCGTCGGGGAGGCGCACGCGCAGCAGAGTGTAGGTGTACTTGCGCAGCTCGCGCTGCTCCTCCCGCTCCCGCATGGCCCTGGTCCGCAGTGCACTCAGCCGCTCCACAGCCTCCGACCGGAGCCTCTGCTCCCGCTTGATCTCCTCCGCTGTGAGGTTGTAGAAGTCCCGGGGCAGCTCGAACTGGGAGGCCATGGGCGAGGGCCGGAAGAGCCGGCGCTGGCGGGCCAGGGTGGCCCGCACGGGCTCAGCGACCAGAAGCTGCTCCTTGTGCCTCTGCAGGCTCTGGGGCTGGGCCAGGGCGCCCTCACTCAGCACGTAGAACTCCTCGGGGCCCTCTGGGGTGCACACGGAGGTCACTCTGCTGCCGCGGGGTGAGCCCCCCACCCCTTCTCCCCGCACGGCCAAGACCCCGCTCCACCTCCCTTACCCTGATCAGGAACTGGAAGCAGTGCCTTCTGGAAGCCAATGGCCTCAAAAAACTCATGGGTCCCTTCCAGGCAGTTAATGCGCTCCTGAGGGAGTGCAGCCAGAGGTCACACGAGGTCCCGGGGCCAAGGGCCAAGCAAGAGGACCCCAGAGGTGGGGGGAACCGGCTGCATGGGATGTGGGGGAAGGAAGGGGGCCGGGGGTGGCCACGGCCACCAGAAGTCAGCAGCAGGCACCCTGCCAGCGGCACAGCTAACGGCCACGGCGGTGGGACTCCGCGATTTCTCCACAGAAACCCCAAGTCTGCGTTTATGGAAGAAATCTCACCAGCGCCCACGGCACCCCAACACATTCAAGTGACAGTCGAAACCCGCCAGGGTGGTGGGGAGAACAGACAACACAGACCCGTGATGCACGACCCGTGTTCCTGAAGCCCTGGGTCCCTAGCCGCCCCCTGCTGCCCGCCCTGCCCCGCCACCCCTGCCCCAGCCCTCCAGCCCCTGGTTCCGGCGGCCTCCCCTACACCCCCCACGGGCTGCATGTGCGTGTGTGTGCGCAGGCGTGTGTGTGCATGTATGTGTGTGTGCACGCGTGGTGTGTGCATGTGTGTGCGGGCGTGTGCGTGGTGTGTGCATGTGTGCGCGTGTGCATGTATGCACGTGCATGTGTGGTGTGCATGTATGTGTGTATGTGTGTGGTGTGCGTGTGCACATGAGTGTATGCGTGTGCGTGCGCGTGGTGTGTGCGTGCTGGCGTGTGTGTGGTGTGTGCATGTATGTGTGTGCATGCGGGCGTGTACGTGGTGTGTGCGGTCGTGTGCGTGGTGTGTGTGTGCATGCACACGGCCCGGCCACACCCCGCCGCGGGCAGCCTCACCTGGAACACTCGGTTCTGCAGCTTGATCTTCCTGTACTTCTCCTCCTCGGGGTGCAGGCAGATGTTGTCCAGGTACCTGAGGGAGAACGGGGGGCCGGAGCTGACAGTCCTACCTGGCCTCATGCTAAGACGCACCCCGGAGGGCCCCCCATGAAGCCCACCCCCTGGGGATGACAGCTCCTGCTGCTGCCCCCGACACAGCCCACCCAGGACTGTTCCCAGGCCTCCCCCTTGGTCCTGTTTCCCCGAGGACACCCACACACACAGCAGTGGGGTGCGGCAGACAGAGCCAGAATAAGGGACCACGGAAGCCCCCGGGGCCCCAGGGGCTCACGAGCTACAGGGACTTCCTGGCATCCTTCCTCCCCCAAGCCTGTTCGAACAGATGAGGGGAGTGAGGGAGGACCCTTCACTCCTCTGATAATCCCAAAGGAAAGCCAGGGTTGGGACCCCCTCACTTGGTAAACCCCTCCGTTTTACAGACAGGTAAACTGAGGCCTCTGGAAAGGGGCTTGGGCAGGGAGTGCAGGGTGGGGCCTGGCTATACTCCCGTGCTCCTTCCAGGCTCCTCCAGGAGGCTGTGGTCCAGGGTGGGGGCGACACCCTGATGGGAGGGCAGCTGCCCGCTCACTTGGCAATGGTGTCCACACCCAGCTTCACCCGGTCCCGGTCTTTGTTGAACGTGTGGATCTTCATGATGGAGGCAGCCACGGGGTCCGTGGAGAAGTGCTGGGAGGAGAAAGGGAAGTGCATCAGGCACCTTTCCCTCCCCCCAGCAGCCCGGTCTCACTACTCAGGTGACATCGGGTGACAAAAGTCCCCTGGGAGGCCAGGAGCGTTTCACTGAAACAAACTCAACTGTGCGTTTTCAGCAAAGGAAGAGAAGGAGAGAGCCCCGCTGTACTCCAGCCTGGACCTCGTCCTGCCCTGACCTCTAGGGAAGAGGGTGTGTCAAAGGTCAGATGATGCCACCTCCGGGGGTCCACTGGACAGACCTCTACTACCCGGTTTCCCAATTTAGTTGTCAGGGTGGCACAGAGGGGACAGAGACATTGACCGGCAGAAAAACCCCACTCCAGATGAGAGGGGGCATGCTCTCAGGACGAGGCCAGGCCAGGCCTGTGTGACCTCCCAGACAACCCCCGGGGACGAGCTACTGCTCCAAATACTGCTCTCGGGGGTTTCCAGGTGCAGGGCCCGAGGGTACACAAGGGACAAAGGAGCAGAATGTCCAGAAAGGAGCCAAACCCGTACGGGAATCTGCTTTGTGGTCGAGGCAGATTTCACAGCTGTGACCAAAGAGAGGTGTGTTCCATCACAGGGGTTTGGGGGGTCAGGAGAGCTGGTAGCTATCAGGGAAAAGAGCGCTGGCTTCATGCCCCATGCTGGACAGGGTGAGAGCTTCTAGTCAGATTCAAGTGTTTTTTAATGGACCAAAGTTTTAAACATTAAGTAACAAAAAGCAAAACAGAAAAGCACTAAAAAAACCATGCTAGAATCATTTTAATTCCCAAGCGGGGAAGGCCTTTCTAAGTGTGCCACAAAACCCAGAAGCCATAGGACCAACACATTTAATTACACAAATCAAAAACCTCCACGTAGCAAAGCTACCACAAGCACAATCTAAAAGTAAAAAACTAGGGGAAAACATGCACGATTCATGTTATAGGCAAAACACCAATTTCCCTAATATGTAAGAAGTGCCCACAAATCAACTTCAGAAAAAGCCCAGGGGCACCTGGGGGCTCAGGCGGCCAAGCGTCCAACTCTTCTTGGTCTCAGCTCAGGTCGTGATCTCAGAGTTGTGGGGTCACCCGCACCGGCCTCTGCACTGGGCATGGAGCCCACTTTTTTTTTTTTTTTTTTTAAGATTTATCTATTTGACAGAGAGCAAAAATGAGAGCGCGCACACGCACGCATGGGAAGGAGGAGCTGCAGACTCTCCACTGAGCGGGGAGCCCGATGCGGGGCTCGATCCCACAACCCTGGGATCACAACCTGAGCCGAAGGCAGATGCTTTACCCGCTGAGCCCCCCAGGCCCCCCAGGCATGGGGCCTACCTAATAGATAAATAAATAAATAAGTAAATAAAAGATCCAACCATCCAACAGAAAGACGAGAAAGAGACACACTCTCTTCTGAAAACACGGCCAACCTGAACCAAAGTGAAGGAAATGCACATTAAAACTATCCTGAGGTATTTTCACCTGTCCATCCGGGGGAAGACAGAGCGTCTGCGACCCCCACAGGGACAGTGTGGTCACCATGATGTGGGAGGGCCGCTGGCGGAGCGAGGGTGGGGACAGCCCCTTGGAGGTTCAGCAGCGGCCTCTGTCCGCACCCCATGCACGCGTCCACACAGCGCTCCCTCCCGCCCCGGGACTGACCATGGCTCTGCGTCACATCACTGTTGCCACTAGGACAGGACACACCGGCCACACATCCTCAGCAAGGAGCTTTCTAAACAGCTACGGAACTTATGTCAAGTTGCTAACAGTGCAGAACTGTCCCTCAGATGGTTCAGAAAAAACTATTAAGGGGTGACAGGACAAATGCAGAAAAACATTAATGCCCGTGAACTCGGGGTAAGGCGCGGCAGATGCCCCCGTCCTCACCCCTCAGTCTTGCGGGCACATTCGGTGACACGGGAGGGGGACAGCAAGGAGGCAGATAATGATGGCTGCTCATCAGCGGGCCTTAAAATAGGGAGATTAACCTGGATTATCCGGTGGGTGCAGCATAATGTCGAGGTCCCTTCAAGGGGAAGAGAGGAGAGAGGTGGCCTGAGCACGACCCGGGCCTGGCGCGCTGGCTATGAGGACGGAGGGAGCCGCCATGGACAGCCTGGAGGCCGGACAGGGCCGGGCCGTGTTCCCCCTGGAGCGTCCAGAAGGAACTCGGGGCCGCTGCCACCTTGACTCGAGCCCAGTGGGACCCGTTCCACGCTCCTAGCTTCTAGAACCAGGAGGGAACACGTGCCGTCTGAAGCCACCGGCTTCGTCAGAGTTTGTCGTGGCAGGGACAGCAAACTCAACCTGGGGGAAGCGGGTGTGGGGTTCGACAGCTGCGCCTACCTGGAACCTCTCTCTGGAAAGGGCCCGAAACCACTTAGAGTGGTCGCCTACAGGAAGGGAAGGCGAGAGGCGGCTTCTCTTCACCCGCCCTGGGGCACTGGACATTTCGTACCCCGCGCACACACTGCCTCTCCAGAGAGACAACACACACACCATCCATGCAGACCCGAGCCACTCAGCTCCCTGGGGCAGGACCCGGCGCTGCCACTCACCGAGAGAATGGCTTCTTTGATGTGGGCATCCCGCTGGTCCTTCCTGAGCGTGGCCCCGGTGAGCGGGCACGTGAAGCACACGCCGGGCACCGCCAGATGGGCTGAGCGCTCCTCTTTGGCCTCGGGCACCTGGGTGGGGGGTGCATGCGGCTGAGCCCAGAGCCACCACGCCGCCCCTTCTGTGGGTTGACGCTGGGACAGTCCGGCTCCGCACTGCAGCCCTGCAGAGCCCACCTTCAGCTCTATAAAATGGCTTAGTGGGGCCAGCACACAACCGAAGGACGGGGGACAGAAAGTGTGGGGGGACAGAAAGTGGGGGGCTGCTCTGGACGCGGGGCCAATGCTCTGCAGAGGCCCTGCTCATGGTTCCCCCATCTCATGAGGAGGCGGCCAGCGGGTGAGTCAGGAGTCACCGCACCCTAGAGGAGTCCCGACTGCTCTCTGGACCTCCGTCCCTAGGCACTGTCTAGGGCCTCTTCCATTCTAAAACTCAGTGAGAGCCCCAGGGTCAGGCTGCTCAGAACACCCTTTCAGCCAAGCTCGCCTTTAAAGCCCACCTCCCCCAGGAAGGCGTCCCTGATGCCACTAGTCTCCGAACAGCCCTCCCAACTCCCCGGAAAACAGCTGAGGGCAGGAGTTGAGTGTGATAAGGTCCCAGTCAACCCCACCTTCAACCACAACCTGCTCCCACCATCCCAGGCGGGGCTCCCCACACTGCCTTTGTGCACAAGGCCAGAGGTAACCTCCAGCCACCATGACTTCTCCTCTGTATCCCCCACCCCATCACCGCACGCTTACAGCCCCAGGGCTGGACCCCTGGCTCGTAATGAGGAAATGGCCAATTAGACCAACACAGGCAAGAACCAGCTCCCCGCTCCAGAAGGCCCGGCGGGCATCTGGCTGCCGTGCAGACGTCTTTACCGTGTTGCTCCCTGGGGCCTCTGTGCTCCCGCTGACAGTCGCTTCAGCTTGAAGTTCCTTTCTCACTAGAGATGGGACAGACACAGGTGGGTTGTAAGCCCTGGTGTGTCCCCAGGCACACATATCCAAGACCCAAAGACCGGAGAGGGTCAAGATCTAATCCATCCTCTCCTCGGGTGCCCCTGCCTGAGCCACCTCCCCCCACCCCCTGGGATTCCCCTGATCGCCTGATGACAACCCTGTCTCGTCTCCCTTCTCCCCTCCTCAGCCTTCCAGACCGCAGCACCCTTGTGCCTTTCTGCCCTGTACCCCCTCCAACGACTTGAGACTTCAGAGCCCCCAAAGTTGCTGGTCCCGTAACTATTTCCATACCGGGCCAAGCACAGGGCTCACTCACCCTGGTTGCGGATGGACTCCTGTGACGTGGGGCCCCGGGCCCTGGGCTGCTTCTGTTCAAGCCGGGCCAGGGCCGCCGCGGCCGCCATCTGGGCCTCATCCGTGGGTCCCTGGCGGGCTTGCCGCCGTGCTGGCTGGGTGGGCTTTTCTTTGGGGGCCCTCTCCCTGGGGACAGGCAGAGGAAAAGTGAGGTGACACGGGGTCAGACAGAAGAGCCTCTGTCTCTCTTCCACTTCTGCGCCATCGGACAGACACCTCCCTCTTTCCCCAGGGGTCACCTGCAGCCACTAGATGGTTCTAACACAGAAGAGCCCCAGGAGGCAGACGGCAGGTCTGCTCCCAGTTCTGCCCCGGAGGGCGAGTCCCACATAAGCCCAGGCCTCAGGGTCCTGGCAGCTCAACAGGGGGGCCGCCAGCCCGCCCACACGGGCCACCACTACACAACTGTGAGAAGCCACCATTGCCCTGAGGAACTGAGGAGACTCAAAGCTCTCACTCCTCTCCTCCATCCCTCCCGAGCAAGACCAACCCTGCCAATCTGTGGAAGCCAGGCGCTGCAGCTTCATGAGTAGGCACCCACTGTTTGCCTGGCAGTATGTCAGGTCACAGGGCAGGGGCTGGGTCTGCTCTTGCCTCCACCTGCGGAAACTAGCCCAGGACGCATGCTCCCAGGGCCACAGGGCACAGAAACGATCCGGCCTTCCCCTGCGGAGAAGCCCGTCCCCACACCCTACTCTAATTCACCTGCCTCGCCTCCTTCCCTCAAGACCCTCTCCAGGTGCCAGAGCTTGGAATTATCTGTACTACATCCCCAGAACTTTCTAAGCAGCCAAGGCTCTGGGTTCCTGGCCTCACTCCTCCTGCCCTGCTCAGAGCCACGGATGGCCTGATTTTTGTGTCCCAACATCTCTGGGATCTGCTTCCTGCCCATCCCTGCCCCTCTGTCCACAACTGACAACCTCGTGTTGAAGAAAAGATGAATCACACACCCCACCCTTACCCCATGTGACATTTAGTTCTATCAGAACACCATTTTCAAAACACCTTACTCTCTCTCTTGAAGGCTCCATGGGGCAGCCACAGGGATCCTTTTAAACCTAAGCCAGAGCTTGTCACTCCTGCACCAAGCCTGTCCATCACATGCACAACAGTCCTAAAGCCTCCCCGACCTGCAGGCCCTTCACACCTCCCAATCTACTCTGCTTTCCTGCTGTTGCTCCCAGAGGCCCAACTGGCTCCTACCACAGGGCCTTTGCACTTTCTACACTTTCTGCCAGGAATATTCTGTCTGCATATGGGATAAGGAAAGAAGGTCTGGGAGCAGCCGGGGCTGCTTAGGGGTGTGTGTGTGTGTGTGTGTGTGTGTGTGTGTAAAGACTGATTTTCACATGGCTAAACTTCTCCGGCTCTTGGCTTAGATGTCTCCTTCCCAGAGAGGGCTTCCAGGATGCCCTAACAGTCCCCCAAATCACTTGCCATCTCCTGACGCAGCTTATTTTCCCTCACAGCTCTGAGTACCACCTGATCTCTCACCACACATGTGCTGGTTTATCTGTTCATACCTCCCCCCTGGAAGCTGAGCCCTGAGACAGCAGAGACCTTCTCTTACCCATGAAACCCATGACAGCCCTTGTCACACACCTTGAGCCCCCAGTCTTGCCCAACGGTGTCACAGAAGCCCAGATCTCCATGCTACTTCCCTCTTCTGTCCTCCCAGGCCTCTTGTCTGATACAGTCATCACCCACACGGCCCCTGCCTCCTCTCCGTCACACTCAGTCCCTGCTGCACCAGCCCCACCTCTGCCCAGTACTTGTGGAACAAATGAATGGACCCTCTTGTCTGGTCCACCCCCTCTCCCTAGCCCTCTCTTAAGCTGCCCTCCTCTCTCAGGCTCCCAGGACCTGATTCAGTCTACTGGGCTTCCCTCCCTGACTCAGGAACTTGGCCCTAGTGGGCCTCCTTCGTCCCACTCTCAGGAACCCCCAATCCCCACGACAGATGCCCTGAAGTCATGTACCCACTCTACCTCACCCACCCCCGCTGCCTCATGATTCCCCTCCTGCAGCCTCCCTGCCTCTCCGCCTACCCCTCACTGCCGCCCTCTTCACAATCCCTTCCATCATTCCCCACAGACCCCACCACGCAGAGCTGACATCTTCAGCCACTCCTCTTCCCAGACCCCACTCAGTCCCCAAAGCCCCCGCCCCCTCTACACTTCCTTTGGTCTTCCCAGCCCACCATAGCCCTCCATCTTGTGTCCTCCCCTGAGTCTCCAGACTTGCCCCTGGCCCTTCTCTTCACTGAGTCCTCCCCAGATGTCCACAGTGGCCTGGATGAGCACTCCACTGGCCTTCCCTCTTCTCCCCTCTCCTCCCAGGTCCCCCTCAGGACCTCCCATCTGACTCAGCCTTCGCCCACAAGGTCCCCATCTCTTCCCCAGATGCCTCCAGCTCCCCACCTCCACCATCACCCGCCTCCATTTCCCTCCCAGACCTCCCTAAGCCTCTCCGACCCCCGCGCCCCCAGTCCACCGAGACCTCTTCCAACACCGCCTCAGGCTCCCTGGCCTTAATCACACTTACCCAATCCTCCCTCACGCTCCAGAACCAAGGCCCAGATCCCTACCGCCATGGATGATACGCCTCCCCACTCTTTACGACCCCAGCTGTACTACTTCTTCAGGCTCTGTGTGCAATCTCCGAACACCTAGATTCCCTAGGTGATGCCCTTCTGGGGCCCCTTTACAGCTCACATACTCCCCTACGGTTTCTCCGGTGACCCCCAACTCTGCACCCCGCCCCCTAGCCCCCGCCTCCAGCCCCGCCCCCCGAGGCCTCGACCCCCTCCCCGCCCCGCCCCCAGAGGCTACCCCTCCCCTTGCTCCCACCGTCGCCCCCCGGTGCCCCGCCCCCAGAGAGCTCTCCCCACCCCCAGACGCTAGGACTCCCCTCCCCGCCCCTAGCCCTCTCTGGGCTCCCCCTCCCATGCTCGCCCTCGGATCTCAAGCATCAGCGCCGGTCACGCACCCCACGGACTCCGTGAGCTTCTGACCAGGTCCCGCGCTCTTGAACTTGATGTCAGCTTTGATCTCCTGGAAGAACTTCTTCATGGTGGCGGCGGGCCCGGCGGCAGGGGGCCGCGGGGGGCGGGGGGGGGCGCGCAGGGCCCAGTCGGGGTGGGGCCGGCAAGAGCCAACAACCGGAAAGAAAATACCTTGCTGCCGGAAGTCCCGCCTTCAAGAGGCCGCCCACGTGACAATCGGCTGGGGGTGCCTCTCTAGCTCTCCGCGCCTCGCTGGCCCGTGGCGGCCGCTCTGCACCCCCGGGCCCAGTCTCGGCGCCTTTTCCGGACTCCGTTGCCAGGGGCGACGAGCGCGCTTCCAGCTGGAGGCTACGCCGCGTTCCCTGCACAGCTTTCCCCAAAGCGGTGGTCGGAGAGGGCGGGACCGTCCCGCGGAACTTGGTCCTGACCTTTTCCCTGCGCGAGAGCCTTCCCTGGCTACCCCACGCAGTTCAGTGTGGGGGCGTTCAGGGCCGTGGTGACCGTCCCGGTGCCCGGCGCTGTGGTTCTCTTGGGCACACGTGCTGGGGGCGCGGGAGAGGGCGCACGAGCGAGGGCCTGGGGACCCACGGGGGCGCATCCCCACGGGGTCTGGGCCAAGGCGCCCTAAAGTCATCTTCACAGGATTTAGGAAAGAATCCGGTGCAGCCCAGACAAAGCTTGCGGAGCTTTGGTTTCCTGCGAAGTGGGCCCAGGACGGGCATCCCCCTCGTCGGACTCCATTGTCAGGGTCACGATGCCGTGAGAAAGCTTTCAAGAAATGTCGGACGTTGCAATGACTTTCTCTCTGCGTACTGAGAGTCGGCCCTGTATCAGCGGGGAAGCACACACAAATTCCCCGACCTCGAAGCCCTCATGGAGTTTCCGATGGGGCTGGGCAGACAGATGAGGCGAGAGTAGGTCTGGGGCCGAGTGGATCGTGTTAAGCGCTAGAGAGAGAAGGTGGACGCTGGGAGCAAGGGAGGGCGGCTTTGCAACATCACCTAAGAGGGGGGCCGGCACAGGAACGGGGGGCATTTTGAGACCGCGGGGGGAAATGCGGTTGTGTCTGGGCATCAGATGATAATAAAGTAGCTGCAGTTGCTTTTTTTAGGAGTGAGAGGGGCACGGCAGTAGCTTTGGTTCATCTGGGTTTTGTTTTGTTTTCTCTTTTGACTCCTTTCCTCCGTTTCTACCAGCCCCCGCCTCGGGGAACCCACCCATGGGCTCTCCTTATCTATAAACTTCCTGGGGTTCTTTGTGTTTCTTCTTTTTAAAAAAATTTTTTAAAATATTTTATTTATTTATTTGACAGATCACAAGTAGGCAGAGAGGCAGGCAGGAAGCAGGCTTCCTGCTGAACAGAGAGCCTGATGCGGGGCTCCATCCCAGGACCCTGAGACCATGGCCTGAGCCGAAGGCAGAGGCTTTACCCCACTGAGCCACCCAGGCACCCCTCTTAGTTTCTTTGTTTAGATTCCATGTATAAGAGACATCTTATGGTGTTTGCTTTTCCCTGCCTGACTTGTTTCACTTAATGCCCTTGAGGTCCATCCATGTTGTCACGAATGGCAAGATTTCTTTTTTTTTTTTTTTCTTTCGGCTGAGTGATATTTCATCATATATCCATACCACCTCCTCTTTATCCATCCGTGTCCTTCCATGCACACTTGGCTTGGCTTGTTTCCATAGTTGGCCATTGTGAGTTGTGCTGCAAGAAACATGGGGGTTGCACACTTCTTTTCGAATTAGTGGTTTTGTTTTCTTCAGATACAAGTGTAATTGTTGGGTTATGATACTTTTTTTTTAATTTTTAAGAGATTTTATTTATTTGACAGCAAGAGAGGTACAAGCAGACTCTGGGCTCAACCGACTGAGCCACACATGTGCCCCTGGTACTTCCATTTTTAATATTTTGAGGGACCTTTATACTGTTTTTCCACAGTGGGTCTACCAACTTACATTCCCACAAGCAATGCATGAGCGTTCCTATCTTGCCACATCTTTACTAACACTTGTTTCTTGTCTTAATAATAGCCGTCTTAACAGGTATCAGGTGATCTTTGTAGTTTCAATGTGCATTTGCCTAATGATTAGTTGATTACCTTTTCATATACCTGTGGGCCATCTATATGTTTTCTTTGGGAAAATGTCTTCAGATGGAGGAAGGAGCCCTGAGCTGAGGAAAGCAGGCCGCTTCTAGGAGCTGGGAAAGGCAAGGAAACAGATTCTCCCCTAGAGCCTCCAGAAGGAGCACAATTTCACAAACATGGATTTTAGCTCATTGAGACTCACTTTGGATTTCTGACATCCAAAATGGTAAAAAATCAATTTAGTTTGTGGTAATTTGCTCCCTAAACAGGTAAGGGCGCCTGGGTGGCTCGATCAGTCAAGCATCTGCCTTCAGCTCAGGTCATGATCTCGGAGTCCTGGGAATGAGCGCCACATTGGGCTCTCTGCTCAGTGGGGAGTCTGCTTCTCTCTCTTTCTCTCTCAAATAAAATCTTAAAAAGGTTATAAAAATAATAATAATGTGGCCTGGAACATATTGGCTGCTCGATAAATGTTACTGATTTTTTTTTTGAAGACTTATTTTTATTAAAGATTTTATTTTTAAGTGATCTCTACACCCAAGGTGGGGCTTAAACTCATGACCCTGAGATCAAGAGTCACATGCTCTATGGACTGAATCAGGCTGGCCCCTGTAAATGTTACTCACTCTTGTACTTGGCTAAATGGGTGGTAAATATTTCCTCATGATAGTCCCCTAGCAAACCAAGCCTGCAGCACACAGTAGGGGCTCAGGCTGCCTGCTGTTTGGAGGGGGGTGTTTCTTGCCGTTCTGGGGGGTCAGTGGTAGCTCCCTCTCTAACTTGCCTGTTCTGGCCCACGGCCAGGCCCTGTTTCTTAGGGAACAGGAAGTAACCTCACCTCCCCAGGTGATTACTAAGGGCTCAACCATTGTCTTCACGGGCCTCTGATCTGGCAGGAAAACATGGATCCTCTCCTGCCTCCTCCTGCCACTTTGGGGGGCCCTCCCCACCTTCTGGGAGCAAGCTGGCCCCAGCTTTCACCAAAGCTTCATCATTTCTCAGCTGTTCAATGTGGCTCAATGAGGTCTGGGCAGGGAGTCTGGTTTTCAGCCCTGCTTCAGGGTCTTGGGGAAAAGCATGCACAGAATCAGGAGGGCTTTGGAAAGAGGGGCCCACAGAAGTGGCATTTGAGCCCCTGGACTCCATGTCTCACTTCAGGCAAGTCATGCCCCCCTTTGGGCCTCAGGCCTCAGTCTCTCTCTCTATACCTAATTCAGGCCCCTCCATACCATCTTCTTCATTCCTTTTTCAACTTCCACACTTGGTCCCTGTGTGATTTAGCATATATAAGATACAGGACACCCCAAGAGATCTGATTTTCTTTTTTAAGATTTTATTTATTTATTTGAGAGAGAGAGAGAGCACGAGAGGAGGGAGAGAGAGAGAGAAGCAGACTCCGGGCTGAGCAGGCTGCCAGATGTGGGACTCGATCCTGGGACTCTGGGATCATGACCAGAGCCAAAGGCAGCCACTCAACCCACTAAGCCACCCAGGCACGCTAGATCTGAATTTCAGATAAAAAAACAAATACTTGGGTGCCTGAGTGGCTCAGTGGGGTAAGTCTCTGCCTTTGGCTCAGGTCATGATCTCAGAGTCCTGGGATCGAGTCCCGCATCGGGCTCTCTGCTCAGCAGGGAACCTGCTTCCTCCTCTCTCTCTCTGCCTGCCTCTCTGCCTACTTGTGAACTCTGTCTGTCAAATAAATAAATAAAATCTTTAAAAAAAAAAAAAAAACAAATACTTGGGGCACCTGGGTGGCTCAGTTGGTTAAGCGTCTGCCTTCGGCTCAGGTCATGATCCCAGGGTCCTGGGTTCCAGCCCTGCATCAGGCTCCCTGCTGAGCAGGGAGCCTGCTTCTCCCTCTCCCTCTGCAGCTCCAGCTCTCTCTCTCTCTCTGTCAAATAAACAAATAATCTTAAAACAAACAAAAACCCCAAATACCTGAATGGTATCTATATAACATTGAGTTACAATTTTAACCATTTTAAGGAACTATGAATTAGGTATTTCTTTTTTTTTTTTTTTTAGATTTTTATTTATTTATTTGACAGACAGAGATCACAAGTAGGCAGGGAGGCAGGCAGAGAGAGAGAGGAGGAAGCAGGCTCCCCGCTGAGCAGAGAGCCCGATGCGGGGCTCGATCCCAGAACCCTGGGATCATGACCTGAGCCGAAGGCAGAGGCTTTAACCCACTGAGCCACCAGGCGCCCCAAATTAGGTATTTCTATCGGATGTTATTTATTATCAATTATATTTTTACAGTGGTAAATATACGTAGAATTTACCCTTTCAACCATTTTTAACTGTGCAGCTCGATGGCATGAAGCACACCACACGATCCTGCTGTCACCCCCACCCTCTGTCTCCAGAACTTTCCATCTCCCCAAATGGAGACTCTGTCCCCATGAAGCACGGATTCCCCACCTCCTGCCCCAGCCCCGGCTCCCACTATCTCTTCTCTGTCTGTGCAGTCGGGACTCCTATGGAGACCTACTGGGAGTGAGGTCCTTCGGGATATGTCATTTGCCTCTGGCTTATTTCATTGAGCATAACGTCTTCAAGGTTCATGCATGTTGTTGGATGTGTAACAAATAATTTTCTAGCATAGGTATGTCACAAATATTGCATGAGCCAAACAGAACATACTTACACTGAAAAGGTATTTGTTGTGTATCTGTGATTTAGATTTAATTGGGCGTTCTAATTTTATCTGACAATTCTAACTTATAGCTCTTCTCGGCCCGAGAAATCATTTTTATTTTTATTTTTTTTATTTTTAAAAGATTTTATTTATTTGAGAGACAGAGATCACAAGCAGGCAGAGAGGCAGGCAGAGAGAGAGGGGGAAGCAGGCTCCCTGCCGAGCAGAGAGCCCGATGCCGCGCTCGATCCCAGGACCCTGAGACCATAACCTGAGCTGAAGGCAGATGCCCTAACCCACTGAGCCACCCAGGTGCCCCCCGAGAAATCATTTTTAAACAAAGGTTTGTTGATAAATAATTCACATACCCTAAATTTCATGTTTTAGGGATACAATTCAAAGAATTTCATCTTATATTTGCAAAGTAATA